ATGGGGGTTATGCTAACATGATACGAAGTTAGCAACAAGAACCTCCAAAAAAGTCTTAATGAAACAAATGTAGACACTTGTTTAAAAAAAATCTGTTTTTATGCTAAGCAGCTGTCGCACTACGAACGACAACCCTCAGAAGTCGAAACTTGCGCAAACTAAGGATTAACGATGTCTTACCTTTTAACGTGTGATTCCTAACACGGGTTGGACGATAGCAAGTGAAAATCGATCGTTCAGACTGGGGCTTAAACCACCGACCAACACGGCAGTCAATTCGAGTGAGTAAACAAAGCTCCCACATCGAACCGCCTGGCTACCGACCGGAATTTGTCGAATAACTGTCGCAACTCACTCTTACTTATACACTCATCCCCTTATACACAATCGACATTGATTCCTGAAATTATTATTGGACAATGAATCTTTCAGAGTTGCTGTAGATATATGTTCCAATATTTCTGTTCAATATAAATGCAAATGTGAATTGGAAGTATATACCTGAGGATATCATGGATTGAGTTGCAGATATAGCGCAGGACGCTTTTCGCGTCATCAAGCTGGTAATGATACCATCAAAAGTGCTTTAGGTTCGGCAAATATACTGTTCATCTAAGAACCTCTAGGTACAGCGATGATGGAAAGTGACCAGGTGACAAAACGTTAGCGAAGAGAGAACTGGTTGTCTGGGATTTCACCTGCGTTTATACTCTGTCTCTTAAACATGCATGTTCTTTCGAGTTCCGTATCTAGCAGTTCAGCAGCATCATCGGCCGAATTGGCGAAAAAATTGAACATTTGGTGCCTTTGGCCCCCAAACATTGGAGTTCATTCGTCAAATCCGTATAAAGATCTCCAAAGAGACAAATGATTCAAGAAATACTTCTTTCAAACCCTGATTCGAAAAATTTATCATTTTGATTCAAGAGTGAAATGCATCTTAATGTTCAGGTACCCCCATTTCAAAGCACTTCATGGATTAGCCATGTTTCCCATGAATAAAATATATCAGTATCCGCCTATGATGGTGAAACCAATCATGTCCTATCCTAATTCCCAATCGAGCGTTATCTATTACAATGCTTTTTTTCCGATGTTGCTTTTCAATTCTCATGTTTTTCCGCAACTGAATCCTGCGTTCATGGTTCCTCGAACAACAGTAAATACGAATATCTGCAGACAGTGCGAGGACCGGAGATATTCAGTGTGATGGAAGAATGGGAGCAAAACGGTCAAGCTTTAACAGAAGAGGAGGACAGAATCCTCAATGAGGGTGATCCAGCACAGTCCCCAAAAAAACTAGTTTCCAACGGAATAGGAGTGAAGAACCTCATCCTTGTCGCAAAATCGAGGGCAAGTGTGTTCAAATTCGATAAAACCGATGTTTCGTCTGAATCCGTTAATCAAAAGAGTCGCTTCTGACCAGGCCTCTGTGAACGAGTACAACAACAATCTACCCATGTACCAGTTTGTTGATCCTGATTGTTACAGGATGGGCGAGTTTCCATCTACATAAACGATCGACGATAGGGCAGAGAGTTTGCAGCCAAAGGGTCTCCTTAATGAAAGCATTTATTGATATATCAACTCGATTTTGCACTCCCAGATCGTATGTCTACCACTCTACAACTTGCTGCATAGCCTAAGCAGAAACATCACTTCGAACGAGAGAAGGAAGTCCATCCCGGTTATAGTTGTAATGTGTCGTTTTGTGAGTCAGTTTGACTACAAAACGACACATAAACGACTACATAAAAATTCCAAGAACGACCAAGCAGCCATTGTCAACACGAGCACCATTTTCGGTCCGACGTGGATTTATGAAATGATGCATACCATGCACACGGACTGAATCGAGGATAGACAGCAAGAGTTTCTAAAAATAATGGATATGTAAGGACCAACTTTACCAGTACACCGATAAGCGACATCTTTTGGGGACAGCTAAAGTAGAGCATACATTTTGCCGGAGATCACACTACTGGGAATATTCAACTTTTTCTCACGCTGTCACTCAACATTGAGGAATTTAAAATTGTTAAGAAGGCGCTTGAGATAGTCGTCTCCAAAAACAGATCAGAGAGTCTCAATTCATCGAAAACTAATGACCAGTTCGAATCATGTGAGATAGTAATGTTATTCGACGGTTGCACAAGGATCATCAAGGGTTTGGTGTTTGAATTCGTCTTGAAATTTGGTTCGATACTAGTATCGTCAAAAACAGTCTCCAGAATAGAAGCAGTATTACGCTAGTTGCACACACACCGATTTTGGACGACCGACTTTGTACCGGTTGTCCAAATTCCAATAGTGAACCACATGTGGGAGCAGGACCTGGCACACGCCTACCGGTGATTGTCACCGGTAAAATACCGGTGAGCAGCCGTCCACTGCCACTGTATCGCCGGCAGTACCGGGAAGTAGTGGCATACATGACTAAATACACTCTTGCATACTCACCGGTTTTTTACCGACCATTCCAGTCTCGAATGCTCGGTGAAATTGTAGTTACTACGCATTAACTTCGTTTCGGTAGTGCGTGCTAATTACGACAACAAAGCAACTGATTGTTTGACCGATAAAAATCCGGTGAGTGTGCAAGCACCCGCTACCAATGAAATATTGGCCGATTTTATACTGGCCGTCCAAAATCGGTGTGTGTGCAACTATCGTTAGGAGCATGACGTTTTCATACTGAGTATGAACAAGCCTGGGGAAGCTATTGTACATGAATATGTTATGGATTTTCATCAAGTATCGGCCAATTCCATCACGTAACATAATTAATCGTCCAATCGTCCAATAATCTGTATTGTTTATATTTTTCATTTCATTTTTCAAGGCTTCAAATTTTCATGTTTTGTCAACAAAATATTTGTGTCTAATTATCCTTGTGGTATCTTTCATCCAATTAACTGAAATGTTTCATTCTTGAATGATTAGTAACGATTCAAAAAAATTAATTCGAAATCTATAGGGGATAGAATATTCGTTTGTCTACACAAAATAAAACCATTTCGAAGAATATGGAATAAGACAATAGGTATGTGCTTGCTGATAATTATGTTCGTAAATTGAAGTAAGATTAGTCACAAAAATCATGTGGTATAACATACCAATGATGTCTTTTTTTCATTCACTCAGACTGTGAAATGATTACCACTATACTTCTGATACTAGATGATAAAAGCGGTTTCTTGGATCAAAAAAAGTATTTTAAATAGTATTATATCACTTCATTCAAAAGCATCAATTTGAGATACATGCATTCGGAAAAATAACTGAAAGATGAGTTACAATTTTGTATTCTTTTAAACAGTAGAACATCAGAATCATCTTGTCTGACACAGTAGGTATTACCGGAATGTTCAATAGTTGTGCACTATTTTCATACACTGCTTTTGATAAAAGTCAATGTGTAATATTCAAAGAATGACTTGTAATTCATGAAAAAGGAAATAGAAATTAGTGATTTATCGTCAGCAACTGAATAGAAAAAATCATGTTCTAGAGAAGCCACTATGGCCTAACACATGTTCATTTCATTAATTTTGCGAGAATTGAAGAAATCATTTTATTCCTGAAAAATACCATACGTGTTCGTTCAAACAACTTTTCCATTATCATTTATAAAGATATTGTATTTTTGACGTTGTTGACTTCTCTCTTGTTTCATTGCAGACTGCCAGACGCGCAATGTAAACGTGAGGGCAGTCAACTCCAAACGAAGAAAATCATCCACCTCTTCGTGCTTGTGAGTTTTAATTGTCTGTCTGTTTCGATGTTCTCGCGAAAAATGCATGATATATGTTGATTCACCGACATTTTCCAATTGCATGTCAAATACATATGGTCTTGTCATACTTTCGAGGTCAAGCAATCCACTTTAATTAATGTAAGTAAATCAAAATATGCCATCAGGTTGAGTGCTTTCTCATGCTTGGGGAGGCAAGAGGTTCATTAAACGTTCTGTCGTTGAAAATAATTCCTAATGCAGTTCTCTGTTGTCTAGGGGACTGCAAGTTTTCTCCCCAATTACTTTCTTGATGCTGGACGATCATAACAATACACGTTTCGAATAGCTCGAGGCTGCCTGGAAAAATATTAGGAGTTCAAGATTAACTTTTTGATAGGCTACACATACGCATCCTTCTTTGTAAACTACCGTCTGGAAATTCACAAGGGCTGCAACTCTGATTCGTAAAATTACTGTAGAAAGTGTAAAGACATATATTAGAACCATCATACGATCTATTGTAGATTCTAAAATATTTTTATAACACAAAGCATGCTTGACCTAAAAAATATTGGTCTACATTCCAAGAGACGTTGTTTCATCGTTTAGTTTTCAATGGACAAAGCATATACTCTTTTCTATTTCCTTTTTCAAATAATTTCGAATGGATATCATCAGATTCTTCTACTTGCTAGTTTTCGCGAAGAAAATATATATTTACAGATTCATAAAAAAAAAACGCTGCTCGAGCTGAATTTCACCACTGATGATCTGTTGAAATTCAAGAACATACCTTTCTATTTTCAAATTCAACAGATATTTAAAAGAACTGGAATGAGACTAAACGGAAAGCGGTAGATGTCTAGGAATTTTCAACTTGACTGAGTGAAAGTCTGCTGTTCTCAAAACGAAGTGGTCTATCAGAATATATCAATAAAGAAAACTATTGCACTTTTTTAAAATTGAATGAATTTCATCACAATCGTGAGATTTGAATCGATAGTTACGTCAATATTAATTATCACAACGATACACTGAAAATAGTGAGACTTATGATGAAAAAAAAAATTCATGAGTTTTTTTTATACCTCCCATGTAATAAAAAAATCTAGAATGATATTAAGTAGATTAATCGCGAATATAAATAATATGTCTTGTGTCTAATCATTTCATAACAATAATGGAATTTTACATTCCCTATTCTCAATATTTGCATGTGTAGTGATTGTTGTTCAGAAACTAATCTTTATTTTTATTTTTTCAGCTGCGCAGATACCCCAACGAGGCAGTAAGTATTTTTTATGTATGCAATAACAATAGTTCCAGAAAAGATAAGCACCAAAACTGAACTTATTGTTTTTTTTCATTTGTCATGAAACTTGATCTAAGTTCTAGTGATTTTCTCAGTCCCTGAAACAAACGTAAAAAATAATTTATCTCTTTCCTAGCAGCACTCAAAAATGTCAGTTGGAATAGAAAACATGAAGCTAGTAAATGAAATTCTATACGTGAAAAGACAAATGATGAGGCAATACTTTCAGAAATAAATATCCTTTTAACCGCAAGAATAATGAGGGAATGTCTTTATTATGAGACGAATTTCATTCCAGGTTGCAAACGGAAAGAGGATCCTTCGACCAATTCGGAACAACTTCCTACCCCCAAGAAACCGAGACTAGTTTTTACAGATCTCCAACGACGTACCCTACAAGCTATTTTTAAGGTGAGTTCTCAAACTTTTAACTGAACTGTCGAATACTGTAATTAAATGTATTATTCTTTAGATCCCTTGGTAGAATTCAATGTCATGTGATGTCCAACAATAAGGCTTTAATTATCATCATGATTCTGAAAATCCCTTGAGAAACAATTCACACCGACCTCTTGATATTATTGAATAATGGGTAATACTTTCACCTTGACTACCATGGTGAAAAACTTTCTGAGGATAATTTCCAATGACCTTTCAAAATTCTACAATCGTGATCTCGAATTTTTGTCTAAACTTTCATCGATATATTCAAGAAATTGACAAAATGGAACCTTCGAACGTAATTTATATTCATTTTCTGAATTTATTCATAATGCAGAGATAAAAAAATTCTTAAAACTCATGGGACTGTTTGAATGGTTGATTATCAGCCTGAGGTTCCATAAACTTCTAGTACAATCATAACAACCAATCTGAAGTTCTCTGACAGAATTTGAAAATTTTCTTTCAAAAGAAATAGGCCCCTTGTCGGTGAACCTTGTCTTTGCAAAATATGAAGGTGTTCTTAAGACGTCTGCAAATGAACAAAAAGAGTTCTGAACTACGTTCGTAATCGTAACGAAATGATTATAGAAGTGATTCATAAATAATGTATACATGATCGTCATCTTACTGATGATCGTTATGGGATATCGTATATATATTTTATACTGGGAACACTGAATATTATAAATATTTCGTATATTAGTTAACTTTTTATAAGCATAATGTTAATATCTGCTAGAGGCATCTGGCTTCCTGTACCAAAAAAGGAATTGTCGTGTCTTCTTATCAATGAGGAATCTAAAAAAGGAACACTTCTGTTAATATCCTCTTTCTCAATAGTAAACTGTATCAGCCCATCATTTTTTTATATATAAAATAATACGGGTGCCAAACGGCTGCACAATATTCGAGTTTGGGTCTCACCAGAGCGTTATATATCCTAATGACTGTTTGGTAATTTCTAAAATGTTTACTTTGCCTCAAAACAAAACCCAAACTCCGTAAACCCTGAGAGACTACTGTTTCAATGTTTTTTTTAAATGACAGAGTTGAGCCATATCGTACCCACAAATCTTTAACATTACTTACTCGTGCCAACGTAATATTTTCTATTTCATAGGCATACTCTATTTTATCTTTCTTTCTTGTGCAAGTCATTACAATACATTTTGACGTATTAAATGGTAACTTATTTTTCACACTCCATTGTTAAACATTTTCAATATCCTTTTGCAGCTTACTGCAATCTTGAACACAATCTATCTTTCTATAAAATTTAAGGTCATCGGCAAAGAGTGAATAATTTGAATATTTAATTTCCGCTGATAGATCATTAATAAAAATGAGAAACAATAGAGGCCCTAGATTTGATCCTTGTGGCACTCCTGATTTTGATTGGTACTCATCTGAATAGTTGGTACCGAATTTTACTCTGAACGTTCTCTCATTTAAATATGATGCTATAAATTTGATAGTTCCTTTAGTAGCTCCACATAGAGAAAGTTTATTCAACAATACATCATGATTTACTTTGTCGAACGCTTCTTGGAAATCTGTGTATATCACGTCGACCTGAGTAGAATTTTCCAGACTTCTAAGTACGTCATGACTAAAAGATAACAGATTTGTGGAAGTTGACTTTTTTGGCACAAAGCCGTGCTGTTCTTCATTTATTAAATTCTTTACTTTGTGCCACACTTTAGCATATATTATCTGTTCGAACAATTTACCAGGAGCAGGTAACACAGCAATTGGCCGGTAATTTTCTATAAGTGATATTTTACCAGATTTGTGTATAGGAGTTACAATAGCACGTTTCCATCGTGATGGAAACTTATTTTGTCTCAATGAAAGATTATATATATAAATCAACGGGTCTTGGAAAAACTCCGAACAACCTTTTATAATATAAGGTGGGATATTATCTACACCAGTACATTTTTTTGGCTTAAGTTTTTTTAATGCTTTTAAATATTCAGTTACTGTTACTTCGTCTAATGAAAAATCGGAGTTTTCTTCAGCAACGATATTAAAGTTGTATTGGGCCGTATGCTTGCAATATACAGATTCAAAATACTCACCAAAGCTATTTGGAACCTCAGCGTCGCTGAGTTTCATATCATGCCTTATACCTTACACCTTATCATGCTTTATAAAAACCTGCAGAATTTCACTAATGCCATTCTATGGAATGCTGAGGATCCATATTAAAAAAAAAAAGGAATTTGAAATGATAATTTGCCAATGCAAGATTCTACCATATCGTCCATCACATATTGTGGTAGAATAGAAAAGAAAACAAACACTGTTGAATCAAATAGGAAATCTATTGCTTGAATGAATTATGTGAGATAATTTACAGTTCTTGGGAATGTCATTCCAATGTTTTCTAATACTATTAATCTCAATTTTCATTTTATATATAGTCATTTTTAACAGTTCTTGAAGATTAAGAAACATTACATATGTAATTTTTGGGAATGAATTGTTATTGTCGAAATTCTTTTTCGCTCCGTATATTCGAAACAAAGCGGCTGCTGATGGCTATTCTGGCCACCAAGTGTTGCCCTCCCATACTGATGATAGGCCGAAAGCCCGAAACACGTATCTATGGTTTGCCCTTTTTTGAGTACTATGCCCAATAAAATTTTACCAGTTCGGACTTACATTGTCTAAAATTATTTAATATGATTTATAATCTCTGCAACTTCCTTTTAAACCAGTTTCCCTCCCTGTGGATGATAAAAAATTTTATTGCTTGTAATATTCGTTAAAAATCATAAATATATCTCATATCTCATGATTTTGAGCTAATAGAAAGGCGTAGGGACTTATCACCCCAAAAGAAACTTTATGTAAACGTTATTATGATGCGCTCTATAATTTTCAAAATAAAAAATTGAGGTTTGTTTGTTATATCTAGAAAAAATTGTTTTCCGGGTATTCTGCTTCTGCTATTTTAACAAGTTTATGGTAATCTGTTCAATTCTTACTAATGATATTTGTATAAAATTATATGGACTTGTATAGTTGTAACTCAAAAATTAGGGCGTATTGGGAATTTACTTCTTTCTCAGTAGAACTTATGAGAATATAGAAAACTATATGATTTTTCAGATGTTGAAAAACGAACATCATTTCTGAAATCTATTGCATTTTCAGTTGAAATGTATACGTTGTATTTGAAAAAAATGTCTATTTGTCTATAATCTCTACGACTCTACGTAAAACAGCGTTGTTCCACAGTCAGACAGAAATCAAACAGTAGTAGAATGAAATTCTAGCTTAGATGAGATATAACACCTTGAAAAACGTGTAGATCAATTGAAAGGGTCCCTAATTTATACAACAAAGGTCTGAGATTTTTTTTTCGAAATGGTCATACGAAAAGATCGAGCAGGCCGGCCAGACTCTATGGGAGTCTCAATCACTCAATCTTCAGAAAATATATCGGGATACACAAAACATGAGGAGATATTTAAGAGCTTCTCCTACTGCACTTCTCCGGGTCAAGACTCACAAATCGACTATCGAGTCCTGGATAAAATTTGAACTGAAAGCCCCCAAAAGGGCAACCAGGAAGAATTTGCTGGTGGCAAAAAAAAGAAGGATTTGGAAAAAAATAATCTCATTTCGTAGGGACCAAATCAGGGGGCATTTATTTACTAATTATGCAAAAAAGAACAAAATTTCTAATCAAAATGTAAATTTATTAAGAGCATGAAGACTAATTAGTGCTACCTTCGTTCCGAAACTTGGGTAAATCGGATAGGATTTGACGAAAGGTTTGAGCCTCATAATATTCGCGTTAAAAACATTGAAAAGAAAGATAACGAAGAGTATATCTCTCCTCGCACTCAACGCAAATACCACTGATGATGTCTGCCGCAGTAGCAAACGAAAGTTCCATTTCACCACGGCATACCAGCTCAGATTTTGTTCTCTTCAATGCTGACTACGGCGTTCCTAAACATACTTCTGTCTGAGTGGATTTTATCAAAGCTCAATGTTTTTAGTTACTAGCTGGAATATCTGGGTTGTCACAGGGAGTCGATATGAGATTGTGTGTAAGTTACAATGAAAGGATAAACTTCAAATCATGAGTAGTAACTGGATCTGACTTTAAATATCCCTACCAATGGGTATCTCCACCCTTACACAGAAAGTTTTGAAAGGCCCACAATATTCCAGAACATTCAAGGTTGTTCTGAAATGTTCCACAATGATCTATGATGTTTCGAGATGTTCCCGAACGTTTTATACAATTTTTAAAAATTCCGTTATGTTTTGGAATATTTTTGAACGATCTGTCTACATTTCTGGACTGTTCTAGACATATCTAGAAGAAGAAACTACCAAATGTCATCCCAATTCACCAACATGGCTTCATAAATTTCAGGATCATTTCCGAACAGTTTACCCCGTTCCAAAATGTTCCAAGATTTTCTGAAAAGTGAGTTGCTCTCGAATATTCTCCAATGTTCTGGATTGGGTTAATAACTCATTTATCTTTCTATTATTTTATTTACTACTTTACTTTATTTACTAAATAATTTTGATGTCTGACTTCTGACAACAGACCAGACGTATATTATTTATTATCAGCAAAGAGTAGGTGAAGTTAAATAATTACGTTACATGAATAACTATTTATTGTGCTATTTTGAATTCATCAAACACTCGAAAATTTACACCTAAGCATAGAATATGCTTGTATTGTGCCTATGCTCTCAATTTGAATGAATCCCTACAGCTATAGAAAACAAAACAAGAAAATTTCATATCATAGGTTATATAATATATTGGAGAGAGAAGGTAAATGCAATGGACCAAAGAAAGAAGTGAGAGCGGGTATTTCATGAATGAATACTCCTTGGAATTTTCGTATGATATGATAAATTTGTGTCAGTTTTGTGCTAAGGGATTCAAAAGATATAACTAAACAGTGTTGCATTTCCAGCGAGGTATAATTTTAATTATTTTTCGAATTTGGGAAGAGTGTTGATATTTTTCAGAGGTGCTGGGAACATATTGTAGAGTTTTGGATCAAAAAAGAAAACAAATCTATGTGTAACTCCTGAGAAACAATGGTAGTCGTATTTTTCACTGAATCTATATACTTTGGATTTACATTGGTCATATTTTTTAATGTTTGAATAAATCCATTTCAGGCTTTGGAAAGTAGATAAGGATCTGATGTTTAGTAATTTGGTATCACTATATAGAGAATCTCTTACATGCAATCTGTGTTTCTTAAATATTATTTTTAATAAAGTGTTTTGCACTGTTTGAATGCAGGTCATTGTACTGTGAAATGTTCCACCACAAGCTATTATACAGTACCATATTACCGACTTAGCTAAATATATATAACACTTTCTCAAATTCTTCCAATCTAGAATATTTCGTATAAAAAAGCTTCCTCAGTCATTTTGTGACTTGACTTATGTGTTCGTCCCACCTGAAATGCTGGTCCAGCATAACACCCAAGTATTTGATAGTTGAAGTCTTTTCTATTATATCACATGTACATGGTTGATGTGAGTCGCATCTCAAACTTTTTATTTTAAGTTTTATTCTGTGTGACTGATCAGTGTTTTGCAGGTCAGTAAAATCAAGTCATGTCTTAATCTTCTGGAGCCCGTCTTCAGCAAGTTTATAGACATCTTCCCATGATTATACTGTGTATACAATAGCTTTGTCATCAGCATAGCAGATGAGGTGATCACAAAAGTCGATCATTTCTGTGATACTGTTTATATAAATGAGAAAGAGAACTGGTCCAAGAACAATTCCCTGGGGAACGCCAATATTGACTTCTTGTGGGGTACTCAACTGTTTCATCAATTTCAACTTTTTGTAATCTATTTGGTAAATAGTTCTGCAAGACATCCGGTATCTTATCTCGCATTACATATCTATATAACTTTTCTATTAGTAGACTATAGGATACGGTGTCGAATACTTTAGCCAAATCAAGGAATATGGTTAAACACTTCCTCGACTTGTCCAATGCATCCACAGCCTTTCACAACAAGGTCCATAATAGCATTTTCAGTGCATAATTTATTCAGATAGCCGTACTGATGTTTAGCCATGACGGAATGTTTATCAAAGAATGATAATAATCTTTTTTTAATGCATTGTTCGAAAATCTATGCAAAATTGACAGAGATCGGCCTGTATTTATGCAATTGATTTTTTTTCCGTTTTATAGACTGGTGTTACTATATCTTGAATGTTCTATCTTGTAAAGCACTCCCTTTAAGTAAAAAAGGGAACAACATTGTGGAGAAACTTTTGATGAATTTGATCAATGACAATGATGAAGTTCTCACTACAGAAAAAAAGTATCATTCATGAAGTTTTTCAGAAATGGTTTACCTTCATGAACAATGACTCCAATTTCATGAATAAAAGAATATATATACAAAATTTGAAATCAATTTACCAAAACATATTTTACATCGAACATTGTCAATATCTTCAACTACTACAAAATGGCGGAACTTTTAATAATTGCCTGAATACGTTGACATTTAACTACATAATATGAGGTAATAAGCTTGAGGTAAGTTCAGAAGATGCTCGAAATGGTTGCCTTAAACTTTTCGACATATGAACAAGCTATCCGATATTTCACGCCGAATATTTTCGAACACAGTAACGTCAGTATCTCTGCAAATATTTATTATTCCTTGCCGTATATCCATTATTGAAGCAGGTTCAGTTTCGTACATCTTTTGCTTCAAATAGCCCCATAAAAAAGTCCAAAAGTCCAAAGGTCTGAAATCTGGCTAGCGGGCTAGCCATTCTGTAGGATCAATCCAATGACCAGGAAAAGAAGTATCCAAAAAGCTTCTTGTCTGGAGTAATGTGGTGGTGCTCCATTTTGTTGGAATACAATATCCATATCGAATTCATTAAGATTCGCTTCGATGATTTCAGTAATGAGAAAGTCAACAGTAGTTTCCAGCATATTCAAATACAGTTCCCCTGTTGAATTTTGATCAATAAATAGGGGTCCTACGATATGATTTCCCAATATTCCGGCTCAAACGTTGATTTTTCTGGATATTGGGTATGTGTTTCCCGGAAAACGTGAGAGTTGGTGTCACTCCAATAACAGCAGTTTTGTTTGTGAACATTTTCGTTGAAAAAAATGTACATTCGTCACTAAAACAAATATTGTGGAGATAGGTAGGATGCCTTGCAATGGTTTCCGTCATGATTTCGCAGAATTCTGATTCTGTTCTTCGATCAGGGTCATCTTCAGTTAATTGGTGTACCATTTTGATTTTGTATAGATGATACCTATTCCTCTTCAAAAGTCTCCACACAGTAAAAGGAGACACCTCACAAACATTCGCGACGGAATAAGTAGACTGTTCAGGATATACTACCATCTCACCAATTATTTGCACTTGCCGTTCTTCCGGAATGGACGGATGACCTGGGGGCTTTTTGTTATATACATTACCGGCAGTGGTGAATTTGGGGTTCCCTCAAATATTTTCTATAGATAGGACGATTCGGAAAACGTTCATTTAAAATTTTTTCGGTCTCGTGAAAGTTACGCGTCGCACCGTAAATAAAAATCGCTTAAATTTTTTCTTCCAATGAACGAGAATTGACAATTTTCGAGATTGTTGACCTGGTACCTTTCTACTAGGAAAACTGCAAAACTAAATGAGAATATTCCAAGTGAACAATGATGTTCATTGTCGTACTGACATTTCTTGTCGTTTTCTTTAACAAAAAATAATTCAACAATCCTTATCGGGTTGTTGGAATTGCCATATGGCAGATAAAAAGGATCATTTCTAGAAAAATCGATATTAATATGTTTGTCTTCAGGAAATTATTAAATTTTCCGCCATTTTGTAGTAGGTGAAGATATTGACTTCATATTCTAGGGTTGTGAAGTATTCGTCAGGAGCTCCAAAATGATGTATCACAAGACCCCCCTTTCCATTTAATTTTTTTTTCCAGATGGCTCCCAGTCGCCGTCTTGAAAGTTTCATCTGTCAATTTTACTTCAAAATAAAGTATTCATTTGAGTTGACCCGTTCAAAAAATAAAAGGGGGGCATTAAAGAAATGCACTGTATGTTACATCTACGAAAGTATATTCTATGAAATGAATTTTTTTCAGTATCCCTTGTTATTCAAAATGAGACTGACACTTGTGGTCAGATGTCACAATTCAATGAAGAATTACGCGCATACAGTAGGCTCATCATATCGTTTAAGTATTTATTACATAACATCTTGGTATCTTGTAGTATTATCGAAAAAGAAATAAAGAGATTCGAAAAGCTCTCACGTAGTAAAAAGTATATCAGTTGGGTGTATATGTGTGAAATTATAAAATCCTTGTACTCGTAGTACCTATCTGGTATTATTCTAGCTATCAACTAACTAAACTTCGTCATAGAATTGTCATGGAAATATTTGCATCGAATATGCCTTAATCCCCGATTATCACTTAGATAACTATTTAAATCAATAGCCATATATAGCGTTGATCTCTTTCAGAGAATATCACCAAATAACATTTTATAGTTAACTCGATAAGCATATTCGAATGAAGTATGAAAAGTATTGTTGGTTGATTTATATTTATCGTTTTGTAGGAAACGAAAAGGCCGTCGAAAGAGATGCAAGTGACGATTGCGAGACAGTTGGGTTTGGAGCCGACGACAGTGGGGAACTTCTTCATGAACGCGAGGAGGAGATCGATGGACAAGTGGAAAGACGAGGATCCGAAAGCCGCGGCTGCGGCGCTACTTCACCAGCAGATGTCGCCAGGAATGGATCACGATGACTTAGATCAGGACGGAGATATGGACAATGATATGGACGATCATGATGATGTCTTGTGACATGCGTTCCGTGATCGACATTTGTTATTGCTGTGACACTTTGTTTAAGTGTAGCGTTTTTAGAACAATTAGTATAGTGTAGATCCAACAATTGTGTATTTGACCTACCGAGAGTATTGGATTTTTATATTTTGCATCGTCTGAAATTTACATTGAGACAATCTTCGAGCACGATGATATAGTTAGTTTTGTTGTTATTGCTTCGATATGTTCGGCATCTAATGGGACATAATTTCTATTTATTTCAACTGTAGCTTTCATCTTATATTCGGGAGTCATACAACACCTGTTTTTCAGTATGTCTTCATATTGAGACATTGAAAAGAATAAAAAACGAAGTTTCAACTTTGTCAGATACAAAGAAGATCAGATTTTAGAAACTGTATTTAGAAAGAGTGATTTTTTGCGTTTTCTTTCTTCACTCAATTATATCAAAGTTAAATAGGAATATTGTTCACTATGTAGCAGGTACTAATTCATACCGATACATTTTCATCAAGAATTTTATTTGGAATATTTAATCGGATTTTTTAGATTTCGTACCGATTGAAATGAACCTACAATAGATTATTCATTGAATTGCATCTTTTAGGATACAGGAATCAAATTCACTCATAATATGAAAATTTTCGGCTGTCAAATTTCTCAAAACCAAAATTAAGGTCCAAAAGTGTAAGCAGGTGCTGTATGGATATCAGAAAAGTGTATCAATCACTCTCTATGATTTTATAAAAATGACATCAGGACTGCTTGGAAGCAGTTTTGATTTTCAGGTGATGAAAGTACTACCAACAAAGCTCATCTTATACTTTCATACATATTTATTATTTTATATAATTTGTTTCTCAATTCATAACTAATTCAATCGGAATTTGATCACGAGGGATAATGTTTATTTCATAAGACCACAAAAAACATGAACCCTTTTGTGAATTCATCAACATCATTAGACACGTCAACTAATTTTCGATTTGGAATAGGCTGCACCTGTCGATTCTGAAGAGAAAATTGTGTGTACCCACATATTCCAAGGAGTAGATTACAACTCTGAAAGAAAAACTCTTTTCTCTCTTTTATTTCCACAGTTACAGCCCTCCAAACGTCCGAAACTTATCAGTTTTCTTTTTGTACAATATAGACTATAGGATGAATTCGAAATCTACCTGTCAAAATACGTAAGTGAGCATTTTACATTCCAATTTTATTTATTGTATATATTAGTGGACTGTAGCCTTTTCAAGATGATTTCGATCAACTGAAAAGGAAAATGTAATTTCGTAAATCGATAAAAAAAATTATTGATGATAAATTCAATTGTTCTATGATAAAATCGAATTTTTCGACATAATGTACATGAAATAAATGCACCTACCATCAGTTTGTTTCACAATTCTATATTGTTACTCAAAATTATAGAGTAAACTTACTATCCCTTGTTGAACTCATATTACAATGCTATGATAATTTTTTTATGCAGAATTTATGGAAATCAACCTCACGAGTTTTTCAAAACATTTCTAAAAGAGAATTTCAGAAATAGGCCAGTAAAATAGAAAGTTATAATATAATTGGTATGGTACATTGATTATTTTGGCAAACTATCGAACAGTTTGATTTATTCAACATTGCCCAAAAATTTTTGGGCAGAAACTTTATTGTGTCAAAATCTTCAGATTTAGTCATATCGCATTTATTTCAGTGAGACAATCGACTTTCTAGCCAGACTTTGTAGAGTCAAACTACTACAAAATCTCAAGATTTAATAAATTGATGAGATCTCATGAGGAGTTAGTTCTATGGGAGCGTCTAATTTAATTTCTCTCCACAGATGCTGTGAAAGAGTGAAGTACATGAAGTGTGAAAAGCATGGTGATTTTTGTTATCTAGTCACGACATATTTAATAGAAATTGTAAATATTGTTATAGGTTACCTCATTTTATTTATTATATTTATTGAAAACAGGATAAAAAAATAATTTTGTGAAGTGAACTTAGGCATGTAATTATTTATGATTATCTAATTTATTGAATTAGCATTGATGTATTTTTCAATTCATTTCCTCGACCTGTTCAGTCAATAAATCATTTTACAGGTCAAATACGAATAATTAAATTTCTACACAAGAATTTTGTAAAATATTAATGCGCTATATTTTGGTAAAAAAACTAAAGTTTATATTTTAGCACAAATAAAATGGTCTGTATATAAATACGGATAGATAATGTACAAAATAGCATTTTCTTTTTTGTGTTTTGTGTACTACACAAAGTAATTGAATTTTATGTCGTTTCTGCCACGTGAAAAATTTGCAAATTCTAGTATGTTTTTATGTGTACATCCATTGTAAGGACTATTGAAAGTAATAACAACACATTATATACGTGAATTGATTGTTATTACTTTTGAAATTGAAATTATGTTATTTGTGAGGTAAAAATAGACCTGTTTGGATAAAACTGTTACAAAATGTATGTAAATATTACGGGACAAAAAGTATTTATGAAATACCTATTATTGTTGGGATCACTTTTGCTATAAAATATAAAGTAACTTTTGACTCTTACATGGATTATTGGGCTTCAGTTCATTTTTATATCAAAATATTTACATGTATGCTATAATAATCATAGCAGTCTTTTTGTTATTTCGTATGAATGATTTTAAAAGTAAATTAAAGATAAACACCCTTCGTGGCTAGTTTAGGGTCACGATATGCCTTAATAAGACATGTTAACTGTTGTATAAATCTAGTCAGCACTTGCCATATTTTTCTTTGATGTCCCCTTTTGTAAATGTTTTTCATAATGTTTCTGTGACATTTTTACAAACACCGTTTTAACCATTGGATCAACTAACAGCTATCAAGAAAATTGTATAAAATACTCACATGATATACCTACAATCCATAAACCAGTAGATCATGAACCGAATCTTTTTTCTGAATCGTTTTACTGCATCACTTTATACGTTTCATTCATAAAACATTTCCTAGGAACATATATCTCCAGAATATCTATCTGTCAAAACCAAATAAATAATTTCTTATGGTCAGGACCGATACTTGTTCAGAGTCTATGATAGAGGTTTTGAAAACCATTTATCATGAGATTTTCATGTAGAAAGTTTGCTACTTCGACATGTGTTTGGAACATGCTTGGCCAAAATAGTGAGCATTAATCAAGAATGAAGAAATTATTCCGTAGACATGTAACGCGGTTCAATAAAACCTGTGTGGAAGTGTCACAATAAATTGTTTTCATGCGCCTATCATATTTTGCTGCTAAATTATAGCCGAGAAATTGTTATTGAAGAAAATCGTTTAGAAACTATGAAACTGGTTAGTTTTTCGAAATGTTGTATCTTTTCAAGGAATAGTTCAGTAGTTTCAGGTTTCTGAAAAGTAAATTTTATGTATGATTTTCAGAAGCGTACAACTGCCGAACAATTTCTGTTTCATTTTCAATGAGAATTTCAAAAAAGTTTGACTCAATCATAGACACCTTTATGGAGTTTTGTTTTCTCCTTAGTTGTTTATCATAGTTTGACAGATAACTGAATGGTGTTTCCAATAATTTTAATGGTGAATCTTGAGACAGAAAATATAATACTCTGTAGTGAGTTGGAGGTTAGTTAGTTCCCTTACTGAAATATTACTTTTTTTAGTTAGGGACGACTGGACCGTGCAACTCGGTTTGAGCGGGTAGCTGAATTAATTTTGTATTCTAGCATTTGAAGTTTGTGTTTCATTTTTGCAGCACCCGCCTGAATGTATAGGTTTTTGCACGACTATAGCACTTTTACAGTTTTTTTTAACTTTTGCAAGTAATGATTATCAAGATGCCATGGGTTTTTGACCATTTTTAAACAGTTTTTCAATGACTAGGAATATGTGAATCTGAAATTTATTCATCCAAATGTTGTTTTTCTTCTTCAGTAAATCGGTTCTTTCAGGACTACGCGATCTGTTTATGATAATAATAATGTGAAATGCTGGTGTGAAATTGAATAGGCAGTTGATAAACATTTTAATTGTCATAAGACTTTCAAATTAACAAAAAAAATCGGTATGTGCAACTCTCACAGCATACAAATATATTTGAGATTTTGAGACTATTGTTTTAACTGGTTTTATCAAATGAAATTTTGATAAGGATGAAAAATCAAATTCACATATCGTATAAAGTCACCTGACAAACCAAGTCTTTTGCAAATTCAATTCATCAAAAAACATAAACTTTCACTACTTTTCATTAAACAAATGCAGGCATTATCATTTTGCTATTATAATCGACGGGTACTACTCGTAATTTCTAGAATATGAATAACAAATTCATTACGTTCGGTTTCAGTTGAATCCTCTTTTAAAAATAAATCTTATTGGAATATTTATTCATGAAATTCAACTGAGGAATGAGTTTCAACGATTAGAGTTTTCATATTTCAATTTTGATCATTTTTGTGCAAAATATTTTAAGTGCAATAGACAAAACGTGTAAAAATGGCAATACCATATCCCATCAGTGTACATTCGTGATTTCACGGACCTACACGATTCTGTAGAAATATAGCGTTGATTAAAGAAACATTTAAAGTACACTGTAGTTTTACTAACAGCAAAGAATATGATGAAAAGCCTGAAAAAACAAGATAGTTCTTGGCTATCAACCTTTGAACATTCAGATATATTCACAAGTATATACCCTAAACAAAAGGGGGCAAAAAATATAATATTTATAATTGATGTGACAGAGTAAAAGTTATGAAATTCATTATAGTGAGATTTCTACTTGAAATTTGTGTGAGACCTTATCAATTTCAAGTAAAAAGCATTGAGTTCACTGAGGTGATCAATATATGATCTTATGTTTACAGGAACAACCTTTTCAAGTTTTTTTTTCAATTGTTAAAATCTTTGTTGAATTGAAATCCATTTTATGAACTTCTTTAAATACATGATTACTGTACAAATTATTACAAAATGTAATCTACTACCACTTTTGTGTGAACTGATTCTATCTTTGAGTAATCTTAATGTTTGACCATGACAAAAGATCGAAAATCTGAAGAACTCGACTTTTCATCTGTTTGACCAAATTGTTTGACCAATTGACTGTATATGTTGTGTGTGTGTTTTCAGTCAGGATTTGAGGCTATTCGAAGAAACCTCTGTTTTGTCAAGCTTTCGGTGGTGCTTACCACCTTCCTTAGGACAACTGAAATATATTTATCCACAATACGTTTTTTGTCCCAGAAACCGATCTACTTACTAACGTGGCATTGAAAGGAAAAATAAGTAATAAGTATATCGACAAAATATAGAGCATTTTTTGAAAGAAAGTGACTGGCAGTGACAATATTTTCAAGAAGGAAAAATTTGATTAGAAGTGATTTTGTAATTCTAGTTCTGAAATGAGCCACACATAGGAGATAAAACCTCCAAAACATTGCTGTGCAGAAAAATTATTCCAGCAAGTTTTCTGCGTAACTCAAGGCTTTCTTTGTTGAATGTTATGGTAAGAAATTCATATGAAATACCTTTATCAGGATAGATACCATAAGATTTTAAGTAAATCAACTTTGGGAAACGATATTGAACTCTTTCAATTAGTGTTATTATAGCAATTGTAGAATGGATACCATAGAATAGAGCCATATTCTAATTTTTACCTCACTTAAGCTACATTAAATTAGAGCAGATATATTTGTAAAGGATCTACAATTGCGAACTATAGAGCAATATACTCTCAATGCTTCATTTACTTTCTATCTAATGTGATTGGAAAAAGATAAATTTTGATCAAAATATACACCAAGGTCTTTAATTGACTGTACTACGTGGCAGTGAAAAGGAATCTAGTCGATAATTGTACTTGGTGACTGACATTTTCCTACTATAAGACAATATTTCACATTGGGATTCATTAAGATATACTTTGTTGACTGCTCGTGCAGAATATCCAATGTGGCATAAGTTGTATGGCACGTAACGCCATCCTGTTGAAACCACATGTCGTTGGTGTCCAGATCATCCAATTCAGGCCAAAAGAAGTTGGTAATCATCGCCGCTCTCAAAGAAATATGAACCGATGACGCCGCCAGCCCAAAATCCTCACCAAACAGTGACTTTAACAGGATGCATTGGACGCTCTTGGATATCACGTGGATTTGTATCGTCCCAA